GTGTACACAATATAACCTGCAAGCGTTTGGTCTTTATCTTGTAAGATACAGTGCTTTATTAAAAAGGGAGAGCTGCTTTTTTAATTTGAAGAAAAATTAATGGAGGAGTTCTGCTATCACTGAAGCCAGTGGGAGTCATGAAGTTAATTACACTTGGATAAGATTGTATCCAGCATGATTCATCCCATTTAATTTGTTTTACTAGCAAAATCTGGTCCTGAAATGCACTATGAGCAACATATATACCTGAAAAGCAATTTGGATTTTTTTATGTGAAAAGTGCTGCAAACTCGTAAATCATCTTTGTAATTTAGGTGGGCAACTCATTTTTGAGAGGGGAGGGCATGTCTTTCATATCAAGGATAAATCAAGGACATCAATTAGTATATTAAAGAATAGTAGTACAACATGATGAAGTGAGGAGAGAAGACATGGGCTAACAACCTGGTTTGCGGCTGGTATCAACAGAAACTTTCAGCAGGTCTGAATGCTTGTCAATAAGCAAGTTGCAAAAGCCGGCACAAGTAGCTGGGAGCAGAGCTGAACGGGGAAGACGGAGAGCCCTGGCTCTGTCCGCAACCCCGTTCTGCTATCTCCAGCTGAAACCTGATCAGCAGCTATTTTGCAAAATACTCTTCTTGCAGAAAAGTAGTAGCATTAAAAAGAAAAGTATCTGCAATAAGCTGAATATCCAGAGTTCCCTCCCCACTAAGAGTTGTAAATTCAGGTATCACAGAGGACTGTATTCTCCTGGTAGCACCAGGAACACCCCGTGCACTTCCATGCACAGACATCTTTATCCGGAAAACCCGCACCTCACAAACTTTAATGTGGATCTTCAATTTTCCTGCAGGCTGTTTCTAGATGTTTTCTGTTAGCATTGTCTCCCAACGGCTTTAGTTTGCTCTGGTCGTTAAACAGACATCCCTCCCAGCAGGAGCTCTCATGTCAAATTACAGGTATTCAGTAAAGGGTATTTTGCTTGCAGAAGCAACGTTTTGCAAGAATTATTAAAGTTATAGTTTTATCTTATTAACCCTTACCTTACAGTTTTAGAACAGATTTCCCCACTACTTAAAAACATTCAAAATTCATACCGCTAAGTTGTATAGTCATCAAGCACTATTTTTACCTGTAATTAGTGTTCCATTATACTTGTTCAGACAGTGTCCACATTCCAAACACCCATCCAAACCCCAAGAAAGTAAAAAAAGGCACATAAACATTAAATATTTGTAGGAGAAACATAATCTGATATAAACAAGCAAACACACAGCTGCAACTATAAATTACAAAAAGAAACATAGAAACTAAGCAAAAAATGCAAAAAGCAAATCTATTTATACATGTGCAAATCAACTTGCATATATGAAATAAATGAGGTTTTTATTGGCATTTTTAAACAGTGTGTATTTACCAACTTTACCTTTCAAAGGCAAGCCTTTTATGTTAATTTTAATAAATATGTAAATGCTTCTCTCAAGTTTTCTAATCTCGTAGGAACAAGATTTTTGAAAAAAACTAGGTCACATACAAAAATACAAAATTTTAAAACAAAGAATGTCTTGATATGAGAGATATGTTTAAAAGCTTGTAAAATGTTTTTATATTCAACTTTTGACATTTTTTTCCCCTCAATTGCTGATCAATATATTCAAATGCAAGTCGTGCAAAAACCTGATTTCTGAGTAAAGGAAGCCGCAAGCTTTACTGTCAAACTGAAAAACAGTAGCACAGTCCCATCTCTAATATCCTTGTTTAAGTGCAATAATTGGACTACACCTTTATTCTTTAATTAGGAAGCAAAATAGTTATGGAACCTGACAGAACGCTGCCCTCTGTCCTGAAATGTGGATATATATTATAAGTTTTAGTAAATCATTCAAACTTTTAAATAGTCCCACATGGATTTGCCTGAGTGCTTATCTGTGGAAGGATTCACTTATTTATCAATGCATGAACAAACACTGCTGTGTGATGCAGGAGTGCTACATTGGGTTTAGTGAGTAGTGTTTACAAAGTTTATGTACTTACAGTTCTCAAATGATAGTCTCCTTTTACAGAAATTTAGACTGAAGCTGTATTTCATAAAAGTAATGTTTCTTTTGAAAAGAGAGTTTAAAATTAATAATAGAGGCCTATTAAATTATAGGTCTTCATTCTTTTTTCTTAAGATTAATGAGTCTTCTCTAAAGATTTCAGTGGAAATAGGATCAGACCCAACTGATTCTGAAGCCAATTTACATGTTCTGTCCCTGGCTTAAATGCAAGCAGTGTTGGTGTTGGCTGTTTCATTTTTGCCAGTATGCAGTAATTCAGTTCAGTAGACTAGAAAGAAACAGTGCTATAGCATGAAAAAAACAGAGCTTATAATAGACTCTCCCTGCTGTGGTAAAGGCAAACTTAGCATTGAGCAAAGCACTAGACCAGAAAATCTTATAATAATAACAAATACCAAAACCCTCCCATATTTAAAGGTTTAGAGGCAAAATAAAATGCAGTATGCCATGGGGACCATATGGGGGGGGGGGAACAAGCAAGTATGTATTTACAGCAAAGAATCACACTATAGCAAAAACTACGTGTTTTGCATTCTTTAAGTGCACACATACAAATCTTTGTTTCTGACATAATTCTGTGATATCTCATTCCAAACTAAATGCCTGCCTGAAGAACCTCAGGCTGAACGGGTAAAGGCAGATTCTGCTCTTGCCTTTACTTTCAGCACCAGGTATAAGTGTATATATTTTAACACGCAGGATTTTCCAGTTGCACAAATATGCACAGGTATGCGGGGAATATTTTATATAAATACAAAATGAATTGTTGCGCCTGCTCAGACCCATTTCCAATCCTCCGCCCCCTGCTCTTCCAGGGTATTAAAACTATCGCAAACTACATTTGTGCTGACTGAAGCAAATGCTGGGCTATGATAGCAGTAAGGATTTTCATATTAGTTTGTGTTTGTTTTCTCTTTGTACAAAAAGTTTGCCTCCCATTAGAGAACGCAGCTGTTCTGTTTCTGGAAAATTACTCTAAAATACAGCAGATTTTATCATCATCACAACCCAGTTACTGGTGACCCTGCTGTTCAACAGCTCCCACACATCCTTTTTGGATACTCGACAATCTCTCAGGATTAAGTTCCTGTGTAGTCCACAGCAATGTTATGGGGTGTTACAGGATAACACCGTCAGGAGTGCTGAGGCAGGAAACAAAAAACTTGAAAAAGCTAATTCATTGCTTTTAAATTGAAACTTTAAATGTATACTGTTCTGTTCTCTTGTCTTGAGAATTTATCCAAGATCAAATAGCATTTCCCTTGCTTGGTCTTTGGTAGATCAAGAGATACATCAATATTCACACACAGATAATGAATGCCGGTTACAAGAAAAATCTGAACCAACCAGATACATCCAAGAAAGGAAAATTTAAGATATCTATGCTTTTCACTATTACCTGGTAATGTTAATCTTTATGAAAAAAACCTTCATGTTGATTTGAGTTTTTTTCCAGTATGATCAGAGCACGTCCAAATTGTAAACCTGCAGAGTATGACTGCTTTCAAAATATACTGCAGATTTGTTTCTCACTAATCTTAGCATATCATTTCCTGACTACAAATGGTGCTGTCAAGCGTGCCACCTTCTGCTAAAAATAACAAAAATTACCTCTACATAAAGAAGGCGGTTTAGAAGCTTCAACTTGCTGCTCTAAAAGAATGAAGTTTGACTTAAATTCCAAACTCTTGAATTGTTTTTTTCTAAATTTGTAACTGGTGTGCCTGCTAAAAAAAAAAAACAAAACCCAAAAAAAGAAACAAACACCCCCCCAAACCAGAAAAACAATCAAAGAACCCACGAGATCGATCAATGCTTTTCTTAGCAGTTGTTTGTCTCCTCTTACTTGTTCTTCAGAAAAAATCTTTAAAAACCTAGCTAGTTATGAAGACATTTTACATTTCTACCATACAATAATTATAGTTAGCTTAGTTTAACCTTTCTATGTCATTCAGCAACACTTTAACTACTGGAAGCCGTAGCAAACTGAGGCTCTAACGATAATATTGCTCCAATGATGCTGAATACTTTTTGCTTCACACAGTATTTCTAGTGGACAGACTACAACAGAAGCATGGGCAAATTCCAAGGATTACTCTCTAAATGGGACCAGTAAACTGTGACAAGTCCGTTCCAAAAATGGCAGTATGTTTTTGTAGCTTTTCCACACTGAAGAATGCCACAACCCTAGTCAGTTGTCGACTCACCAAGATGATGTGTCTCACGCTGGCAACTGCCTATTTGCTCATTCACGATACTCTCTGTTTAGACTGCTCTGACGCAGCAACTGTGACGCAGACAATACCTTGTTGTATACAAAGATTTAAAAAAAAAAAAAAAAAAAAGAAAGAAAAAAAGAACTGGACCCAGATAACCCAGTAACAGGGTACAGAGCTATCTTGTGATTATGAGTTCTTGTGAAGTAAACCACTTTATAGCCATTCAAGCTAAAGCAGTACCCAAAACAGTGCACCTAGAATAAAATGTTAGTCCTCCCTCCTCTGCACCCCTCTCCCTCAAGCACACTTTTTTCAATTTTCTACTGGTATGAAGTTGAGATCCTTTAGCTAACCATGATGGGGGATGTCCTAACTCATTAAAAAAATAGAAAACACTTCACCCAAACAACAAAAAAAACTTTGATGGGAATTTTCTACAAACTATTCTGTGCAGTCATCTTCAAATCACTGTAGAACATGAAACTCATTTCTCTTCGCAAAGATGAAGGAATCTGAAGAGTTACACTGCAAATTTTCTTATAGGAAAAAAAGATCAGTTAGCTGTTTATTATGAATCCCTCCTCTCTTAGTAGATAATTCTGCCCAGCGATGATAGCTCTGCCTGCAGCGAAAAACCTGGACAAAAGTGCAGGAAGTAGTAAGTAGCTCCTCTCAAAACTACTTACATTTTGTCCTCAACTCAAAAGAAGCTCTGCTGCTGCTATAAGCAGTCTTTACAAAGTGCAACCTGCCCCTTAATATAGTCTCTGCAGGGGCAGATTCTTCTGTGGGTTGGGTGGGATCCGGCACAGCTGAACAGTAAGAGGTCACCTTGGAAAACACAGTGCTTCCTTCTTCCATCAAAAGAGGGGACCAGAATATCATTTGCAGACTCCATGGTGAGACATTCGATATTATGCCTAAAAAGGAAAGCACATGATCTAATCACAGTGGAGTTTACAGGAGTTTGGTAGTTTTCATCCTTCCTCACTAAAAATAAAATAAAATGCTGTATTACATCCTAAATCAAGTACATTGAGAATTGCAGAGCTCCAGAACATGACTCTCACTTCTTTTCGCCTGCGCAGATTCTCTCTGCAGAGGGCAGTACAGTCTTTTCAGCTTTACTCCATTTCCTAGACTCATGAAAGAAAAAAATGCTTTTGACTGTTCCCCAAAGCGTAATATTTAAATACACCACGGATTTCTAGTAAGACAAAAACAAAGAATGTGAAAGCAGAAGATATTCTCATTGATTTCAGCAGGGACCTCCCCCACGCAAACCACACTGTGCCAGGTAGCCCTGGGTAGCTCAAGGTGCGGTCAGCCAAACTGCGAGGATGAGGTGATGTTGCTGTGTTACAGGGGAAGCTGCTCAGAGCAGGACCCACTGCTCCGAGGAACCAGCTAGCGCTAGCTAGCTGAAAAAAGAAAAATTCGAGTTGCCATTTTCTGACCACAAAGCTTAAGCACGAGGGTAGCCATTCCAGCAGAGGCTTGTTTTTCACTTATTCTGGAAACATTCAGCATTTAACAGATCTTTTTTTTCCACAGAATTGTAGTTTTGTCTAGACAGCTAGAAAAGAAGCCTGACAAAGTTTTTACATGAGCTGCTTCTGAACTCCACTGGAAATTACAACTTTTCAAACAAAACACAAAAATAAAAACCTTCTACAATTTAATTTAGCAAAAAGTAGAGACAGAAAACCTAGGAAGCAGATTCTCTAGCAGCCATTTGTTGGAGCCCTAGGCTTTGAGTGTTTTGTTTTCATTCCGAAAGGAACACGGACATATTCCCAAAGAGATAGGACCTGAAAGCAACATTAATTTCCTTAATGCATAGCTAGTAAGCTTTATAAATTGGTACTAATATCTCTAATGTACAAGGGTTTACAATTCCTTAGCTAGGATAATACCAACAAAAAGTTTGCAGAAACAGTAATTCTAATTGCCAATATAGATGTTTCAATATGGATGTTAATCGTGACCAAAGAGGGAGCTCAATAAATAAAAGAAAAGCAACACTTTATAAGTGGTGTATTTAAAATCATGTGATAGAAATCACACAATGTGTAGAGTTCTATTTCCTGCAACAAAATGCATTTTGTTTCTGACCCAGCTGACTGAGCACAGTTAGGATTAGTGTTAAGAGTCATGCAAGTTCACTAACTCTCAGCAGGGTATGGCAAAAGCTACGGAACAGTGCACCTGCTCAGCCAGGGCTGCAAAGGGTCCATCCAACCACAATTACAGTTCTGGCACCTGCGATCCCTGCAGCACAAGCATCTTTGCTCAGTGCAAGCAACCCAACACCAAAGGGCACTGTACGGTGCACACATGTAGGAGATGCAGGGGGGAAGGAAGAGATATAAATTTTTGGCCTCGGTGCTGTACTCCTCACTGCAAAAACACATGCTACGTGGAACGGTGCTCTCAACACAGCTGTAACTTCTACCATCCACTGCTATGAAGGACTGACAGCTAACCTCACAGCTTGCTGCTGCCAAACAGACAGCACTTCTCTCCCCACCTTCCTCACAGAATTCATACACTAAACTTCATGTGTGGCAAAAAACAGAGCAATAAAAAGAGACCAAATAATATGTTTGCGCTTTTAAGCACTTACCTAAGCAGAGCTTTGTCCTTGTTAAGATGCTGGAAGAAGGAAGGCTCACAGATGAGCTGGCTTTCCTGACAAACTTGTTTACAGGATTTTCCTGGTTCAGCAATTTTTACTTGAAGGGCACTTAATGGGGGCCACATCACCTGCCCGTGACAGAAATCCTGCAGTGATAGATCATATTTTATTCTAATGCATCCAGTCCCTTGCTAGCAATTTTCCCCATTAGTAAAATAAGTGGTTATTATCACCCAAACACTCATTTTGCAACTCATTTCAGTTGTATTAAAATCAACAATTCAAGCACGATTAAAAAGAATTTTTTTTTAGCATGAGGGAATTATCACCTTTGATTGCTACTTCAAACGTGGTAGTATCATTCTTCCCAACGAAGCTTCTTCCCTACCTTTACCTTTTTTAATTTATCATAAAGCAACTTCAGATACTCTCCTTACTTCCACATATCCAACCCCTTTTGGGCTTTCTCAGTGATTCCTGTTTCACTAACTCAGTGCTAGCAGAACTATTTTCGTAACAGCACAAATATCAGGGAGAAGTTCTGGTAGGAGAAGAATTCCAGAGGCCAGTTACCCTGTAGGCGAGAAATGTCTCCAGTGGCCCACGTGGAGAGCCATCTGGAAAGGATCAGGGGACTTGCAGCGCTATGGAGTGAGCTGAACTCATAAAAGACCGAAGATTTCTATAAAGCAACCAGGATTCAAAGAGTTTGTTTGCTCTTCTTGGTTGAACTGCTAGTAAAAGTGCCCTCCCAACACTGAAAAAAACTGGCTATAAATAATGCATGCAGTCAAGTGTCACCACAGCGGAAAGAGGAAAGGAAGAAACGATATCTAAACACACTTGCTAGTGAAAACTATTCAAAGACAAGTTCTTAGGGTCTTTACATTTCAAATGAGAAAAGGCAAAGTGAAAATTTTAATCACTGGTTTTATGTAACATTCCATGATACTCAATAGCCATTATTTTAACATTTGGCAACTCTCATCAGAAGGTGATAAAAAATTTGGGCCCAGTCCATCATGGTTTGCTTTCTCCTGACAAAACTTAAATTTGTATGAACAGGTCCCAAACTGTGACCCAAAGCTTAGAAAGGCCGAACTACTTGAAATTTTAATGAAGCTAAGACCCCAAATCATTTACCTGTTCTCAATATCAGTTTGGTGGGTTTTTTCCTTGTTTAGATTTCCTCTGCTGAAGGAGGAAGTTTACATACTCCCTGGTCTAACCATAAATGTAATATTATACAATCATGAATCACAGAACATCCTGAGTTGGAAGGGACCCAGGAAGATCACAGAGTCCAACTTCTGACTCCACACAGAGCAACCTAAAAGCTAAACCATGTATCTAAGAGCGTTGTCCAAATGCTTCTTGAACACCGACAGGCTTGGGGCCATGACTGCTTCCCTGGAGAGCTTGTTCCAGTGCTTGACCACCCTCTCAGTGAAGAACTTTTTCCCAACATCCATTCCGAACTTCCCCTGATGCAGCTCTAAGCCATTCCCTTGTAGCATATTCGAAAAACTGAGTAATTTTAGAGCATATTTATGGTAGAATAATTTTAACAGCATCTAAAAAAACAGGTTAAAAATACATGGTTGGAGATACTTTTTAATGAGGTTGTTTCAAAAAGGTCATTTTGTGCCCTGCTTATTCTGTCCTTTTATAAGGTGGGAAGCCTTCCTCAGCTTATGCCACCTTGAAGCATGTCTCAGAGTACATCACCTTCACAGATACCAGCACACAGGGCTGTGTTTCAGTTTGCTGTCTCTGGCTAGTTTTCCTATCAACCATTAAAAGCAACCTAATTTTGGTACCTTCCCCTGAGCCTATCTTGCCCCTCAACCCTACATGCATAAGGGTGAAATAAAGAAAAGATGTTACGTAAAACAGAAGGTTCACCAGAGACTGCGTTTATGTTTGTTTTGCCTATAACCACGATTTCAAGGTGAGACAAGCTTAACTCGGCTGTCAAAGGCTCCCTCTGGCTTTTCCTGCTCTTGGTTGAATGTTCTCACCCCACTCCCTTCGCCAAGCTCTGGTGCTCAGCTGACCCTCTGCTGAGCCAAGTCAGTTTGCTAACCTAGTAGAGCCCTGCCAAAAACATTTTCTGCCGGGTTACCCAGTACTCTGCTTGACCACATCTTTCAAAGTCAGCATGTCTGCTCCATCAGCCCAGCCTGCCTCATCCAAGAGCTCCCAAGTTTGCAACAGGGAATCCCGCAGCTGCTTCGGCTGCAGCTGCCTGGCTGCTCTCCTTTGATGGCAGTGCCAATTTAAGCAGTCCCACCCTTTGGTTCCCATCCTACGCTGCCACTTTGCAGAGCTGACACAACTGTTTGTGCAGCCACAGAGCAACCAGGATCAAGGGATGGATTCAGCAGATGGCACAGATGCACCTAACAGCCACGCTGGGCTGCTGGCAGGGGCAGTGCTCTGGCAGGAAGGAGTGAAAGCTGAAGCTTGGAGTGAAAGCTATTTTAATCCAGCTGAAGGTGGCACTGCTAAACATGAAACCACAAGCTCACAGTAGTCCTCTTACTTCAGACCCTGAAGACCTTCAGCCCCAGCTGTTGGATTTGAAGATTCAGGGAATTCACTAAACCTTTCTTGTGAACACTGTCCTCCCTCCTGATCCTGAGCCAAGGCACCAAAAGGGGAACCCTGGACAACTCCTTTAAATCCTACAGTTTCACTATCCCATAGGATGTCTTGTGTGTGAGTGTATCTGGGCCCATCCTCTTCACATTCAAACATCCCCTGAAGGCCACACTCTTGTGGCTAATGCACCCCACAGCCTCCGAACCAGATCAACTCCATGCATCTTCGTTCCTGTTCCAAGCTTGTGCGGCTTTCTCTGTTCTGCCTGCCTCCCACCACAAACTCTTAAAAATAAGGTCTCAACCTTTATTTTTATAACATCGGACATGTTAATCAAGCACAGTGCTAAGCATATGCAGCTAATAACGATGCTTGAGTGTCCCGGGGGCTGTGAAACAATAATGGCTTTTGACAATTAGTCAAAGCAATGAACAAAATTACAATGCTGTATTTATTTCTGAGAAGCACGCGGTAGAGGCCAGGTCTTAGCCCTTGGGAGAGGTCCAGAGGGGAAAGACAGTTTTGCCCCACAGATGCTATCTCCAGATTGTCTCTTCTTCTCCCTTACACTGAGTTCCATTTCCTCCTGTATTGACTAAAACTCTCAATTACAGCTAACTCAGGTAGAGGAATCCAAAGAAGCAGAGATACTTTTACAGGCTATGTCATCAATACAGCCGCAAAAAGCTTAAAGTGTTTATTGGCAGGAAACTGGAAATAGTTATGTCATGTTAACTACACTTGTGATCTGAAGCTGTGTAATTCTTTATTACTGTCTGTAATACTGTCCTCTTTCAGAAATACAGGTACAGGAGCATGTGCAGTGCTTTTGAAAGAAATCCTGGAAGTTAATTGGTGTAACAGAGATATAGATTATTCCTATCTCTCTTCTACAGCAGCCAGAACAAAAGGCAGAGCTGGCCGTTGCAACAGATCTGGCCTTAGCCAGGAGTCCAAGCAAACATACAGTTTCTAAAAATCAGGATCCCATGTAAATCTCTGCAGTTTATGACACCAACTCAGTATCTTCTGCTGCTCTCGGCTGGCAATAATGTATGGGTCCAAAAGTTCTTTAAGTAACTGGTTTCCAAACCATTTAAAGCTTTATCAATTGAAATACTTGAAAAATCCACCCAAAGGCTTTTAGCCTAAATGCAATTCTGCCACAAAAGTATCTCTATATTTATGTTATACTTTATGATCCAAAGATTTTTTTGTGTGTACACAGTTAAGGAAATCACATATACACTGAAAAATTACTTTGCCTTTCGCTTTGATATAACACCAAGGACCGCAGAGCTACTATTTCTACTTGAACAGCAATAACACCGAGAAGCTTTAAAATGGAGAGTCTCCTCCCTTTCCAACATAAAACAAAAGAGTCATCCACAATAAAAGGTTGTACCTGTCTTTCAATAAACGCATTCATCCTCTGAAGCATTCCTTCACATGTAAATTCGTAGGGCAAATAAGGGTCAATCTGTGGAAACATAGTGTGTTAAGATAAGAAGGTTTTTTGTTTAAATGAACTTTGTGGTGTGCTGTGTGGTAGCAGCTTGCATTCCAAGTACTACATTATAGCTTAAGTAGCAACAATAAATGCAAATAAAATCATTAACAAATCACAATTTCACAAAACCATCAGCAGTTTAAGCTGATTTTTGCTCCTTTGTAATGGCAATAAAAGTTGCTCAGTGATTACCTTTAAGGAAACTCAGGGTATACCGCAAAGTAATAGACATAAAGCTAGCCTGAGACCCTACAGGATTCCAGAGCTCCTGTTTTAACTAAGCTTCCATTCTGGGTTGAAGTGAAAAAGAAAACATTATGACAAAAAAGAATGTGATGCCTTTGAAAATTACTCCAAACTTCACCCCTCCCCCCTTGAAGTGCCCTCATTACAATTCCACGCTGTAAGTGCACAAGCACTTCAGTGGCAGTTATGTCAAGGCTACAAAATCAGTCAAAAGAGTTGAACGTGTATTTGGGCAGCCCGCAATGCTCTAAGAATCAACAAGAAAACTTCCTCACTGAACGCACAGAAAATATAGATTGCTGTATAATTTCCTTTACATATGAAATTCACATTTCTATACAAATTCACTCATGCTCATTTTTTTCAAGTAAAAACCTGACATATCCAGTACTAAAACATGATAATCAGATACCACAGAGATGCAATAATAATTTCCCGCCCCCCAATATCCTACCAAAGTGCAGTACTCTGCTTTAACTAAACTAACATTAGGAAAAGCTCTACATGCTTACATACAATACACCCTCAAGCGCTAATGACAAATTAAGGATACATTTCTCACCTTTTGATTTAAAATTGATTTCACAGCCTTCTCAACTTCAGAAAGATCACTAATGTCTACAGTCCAGACATGGGGCTTCCCAATGTAAACTTCAGCATAGGGATGCTGAGATGTCAACTGAAAGGAAGAAATGATATTGGTAAAAATTAATGTGTCAAGATATCCTTCCCTCTCACTCTCTTCATCAGACTTTTTGGATGAAATGCACTAGGATAACGCAAGAACTCAGCAAGAATCTACCAGTCAGCATCATTCCTTCTGAGTTACCTTTCAGATTTTCCGTGTTTAAATTTAGACAGTGAATTTAATTGGAAAACTGAAAATCAGATAATAATGCAGATCACAAGTAACATTTGTGCACCTCTCATTTGTGGCTCTGATCTTCATAATGACCTCCAGCACAGAAGACTTGATGCTTACCGAAATTTCTTTTACAGCGTGACCCTGCTTCCCCACAGCTTATTCACAGAGCAGCCCTGCGTTTTCACAACCCATAATTGCTACCCGTCCAGGTTACACCTGCGTGACTGGCTTCAAGAGATGTCATCCTTGCCCTGTCTCACCTTCAGACATCCTCGCCCTGTCTCTCCTTCAAATTTCAAACATTTCCAGGCTTCTGTGAGTAGTAATGAATAAAGAATAATTTCTATCACTTAGATGAATTCTGACTCTCGCTGCTGATAGTACAAGAGTGATTTGACATCAGTAAGAGTGTTAACTGGTATTTTGCTCACCACTTTGTCAGAAAACAAATTCAATAACTACCCAAGTAGATAACTGAGAAAAGTTATATTAGAGATTACTTTCAGAACTAGCAGGACGGCACTAGAAGTAATTTTTGTGACAGGTTGCACAGGAGTCAAAGGAACATGCAAATGAACACATGGAGAGGAAGCAAAAGCTGCAGAAGAGAGGGGACCGTTTCACAATGGCCTCAGAAGAAAATTGCTTTTAAATACAAAAAACCCCCTACAGGATAGATTATTCATAGACGATTTTTATACAGCTGCCTCTTTATGCATGATACAAAGAAAAATCCAGTCAGTGCAAAAGATCTGAAGTAGGAAATGGTATCTGTTGGAAAGAACCTTCTCCTGCACTGGGCATATACCATACTTGCTTTCTTCCTCAAGTGAATGCAAGAAACTACTTAAAAAAATTTTTGCCTATTGCATTTTGTTTGTGGACAAAAGAAGCCAGCCTTATAGTTACATACGGGATCAGCTAGCATAAATCTGTGCTCTGAGATCAATGTTCCAGGGGACTCTGGGCAGGCTGCCACATTTGGTTGCAGGGCAGCGTGGTGGTGAGGGCTTGCGGACTGGCTGGAAGACTGCAGCTGCTGGGTCGGTAACTCAGGATGCTTCTGCACACAGACAGCTTTCGTAGCTGCCTACATTCACTTGCAGCCCACTGCACTGTGCTCCCATTGGCATATTTAAAATTCCTCCAAAAAGTCCTCCTTCCAGTCTCAAAGACCGATATATTCTAACCTTTTTTCAATAGTATTTCTACTACCACTAAAACGATATGTACTTAAAAATTTGGGTTAGCAAGACTGAGTTCCCAGGGCACTTATGTCTGGACTTTAGACGGCAGAAGCTACATTCCTATTGCTTTCAGTAATAACAAAAAAAACTTTAAAAATATGAACATAAAAAAGTGTTTTAAGTTCCACAAAGCTTTAGGAATTATGCCTTAGACCACTCTTTCTCTACCATCTCAGACAGACAGACGGCAACATTAAAGCCAGATCTGATCTGGAAGACAAACAACTAAACTTCTCAGACTAGTGGCTGTTTTAAGTATTAAGAGTAACTAGCAACATGTTTTTATTGCACCAGTTACTCTATATCTATACTCTCAAAAAATATTAAGACTATTTCCTAATACTGAAATGCTTTCATTAGCCTAGGCTTAATGTTTTAGATATTCAGGAGATACTCCTCTGTCTATAATTAAAATCTATACGAATTCTTATAAATAGATTTGGAATTAATTTCTAATTTCAGGTCTTCTTTTTTCCTTACTAAAAGCAGAAAATGAAAGAAACCACACACACCAAGTACACATTTCAACTAGATTTAGCATACAACGTTTTTTTTCTTTTGGGGGAGCAGGGGCGGGAAATGGAGAAGAAGTATTGGTACGAATACTGGTACAAAACAAGCTGCTTGAAGGTGGTTTTTTTTTTTTCCTGGCTCCTTCCCTCAGCAAAATCATGTCCCAAGACAAAACAACTGTTGATCTAAAATGAAAATTGTCATTTCCAGTTTTTGTACAGAGTCTTCACTACAGGACCCCATCTTGGGGGTAGAGGGGAATCAGTTAACCCCCTCCCCCCCAATAAATTCTACCTAGAACAATAGGGAAATAGTGACTTGCAATGGTTACTTTAAAAAAGTACTAAACACAGACTTTATCTTCAAACTGGTCTATGGATAATCAATTTGCAGAACTACACAAGCTTTTTCTGTTCTCCTTTAACACTCGAAAAAACTGAGAGAAGGATTTAAGGACTTCCTTAATCCCAAAGAACCAGCACACGGATTACTGGCAATCGGATCTAAATGCAATTGTGAAAACCAGTTAGAGAAAAGGTTACTCTTAGGATAGGTCAGCAGAGCATGTGAACGCAGCAATATTTGTGATGAATGTTCATTACATTATTTTGTAGTAAAGCAGTCAATAGGGATTATTTTTCTGTGCAATTTGGCTGCACAGCATTTCTGTTAATGCTGACACATGCCAGCGGGATTTCGCACAGCATTCCAAGCACTAAAATTCCTACTACAGAATTAAGTGGGTCCAGATTATTTACTGAGCCTGACCAGTTATACGGTCTGGGCACCCAACTGGAAACGAGACAAACAGTCGAGTAACCCACAGAAGAAAAGCTTTGAAAGGTGCCAAGCCCAAGAAGAAAAGTTTAAACAGACTTTTTCTCCTTTGTTAGTAATGCAAGCTGTGAGAAGGGGCGAGTTTGAACTCATGTCCTGTACAAGCTGAATGTATAACAAGCTGAAAGGCAATTACAGTCCTGGATCATAAAATAATAAGGAATTTGTGTTCCTGGTTTAAAATGGGAAACTGTCTTTTGCTTATCAACTAGCTGGTGCTATTCAGTACGCAATTTATACAGCCCAAGCATAACTTGAACTGGGAAATACGGCTGTGCAAAGTTCTCATCATCTAAGTGTTATCAGAGAGCTTTCCCTTCAGATAAGTATGTAAAGAAAATAGGTATATACACCTACGAACAAGCCATGGTCACAGGCAAAGTGCTAATGTCAGAAATGGCTACATGACTGTTAAATGCTTGCAAGTGGTATAGTGTGAATTTTACCTACACCGAAGAAGAAAAATATTCCAAAGTCAGTGCCAGGATGAGGGGCTAGTTTACTTAGCCCATTTTTCTCTTACTAGAGTCTAAACACACTGGACACACTGGCTGTTTTGAAAGGTTGAGGTTTGCTTTTCCTGTTCTCTTAAAGAATCAGTTCTCCAAAGGTCTTCAGTGTTTAACCACAAACACTGTGGGCTGTGACCATTAATACCTCAGCTCAACAGTGCCTTGAGCAGGTCTTTTCTGGAGAAAAAAAATAGTATCCCAAAACACACACAACCACCCACAAATGGCATTTTTATAATTTACTTAAACACCTATTTACTTCCTGCACAGTACACAGTAACGTTTGTTTCTTCAACAAAATAAAACCGCTTTCAAATGACACATCATGTATCAGATGACATGATCTGTTCCTGGGCAGCACATCAGGTTTTTAAATGAAACTTCAGTTTACGATCTATCAGTAAGAATTAGCAGAAGGTACATATAGGCAAATCTAGAGGTAAAGCTTAACAGTATGTTAATGAAAAATTTTGATTATCATATGAAAATAAGGACTGATAATCCCATCAATGGCCAGAGAAAACGACAGGTGCACACCTTCTGCAATAAACTGTGGACATTTATGCAATTTTTCCTATATTGTGTTACTAAGAAGAAATCCACAATCATTTTCAATAAAGAAATTATCAAGATTCATGAAGCTTACCTCTCGGAGTGTAGGTTTGCCTTTGAAAAATTCTGTGTTTTTGCTACTTTTTGGTGGATTAAATCTTAAATTTAGAAAAGCACATCCATTAGCAATAGCCTCTAAAGGAGCCGGCCCCTCATATGGAAATCCGAGACCAACGAACAGCTGAAAAATAGAAAACAAGGACTATCTTTTGTTCTTTACAAAAACTGAAAGCTAAGAGCTAACTTAAAATAAACAATAATGCATTCTAAATGTACCAGCCTAAAAAAAGTAATGTTAAGAAGAAAATAGGAGAAATTTAGCAGCTCACCCCCTCCTACCCAAGCAGTAACAGAATATGTCCTGTAAAACACACTTGGCAATAATCTTCTGTAATGAGCTGAGGTGGTTTTTCAGGGAGCTGAGGCAACAACGGACCCTTTCAGTTATTTTTGGGGGAAAAAAAAAAGTCATTTGGTGATTTGATTGGTGCTGAAATGAAACTGCTGGGGCTTTCTTGCAGGTACAGGTTTTACTGCAGCAACCTCATGGAACAGCTACACTACTGTTTTCCCCCTCTCTCCCACATCAGCTAACCTGCTGGTTTTGCCAATATGAACATGCTCCTGCCAAACTGATTAAGTCTTCTAATTAAAACGGTAGATGGCAGCAAACATCAGCTTAAGACACTGCACCTAGGCAGCAAGAGCTTGCATAGGATTAAGAGGTTCAACGCCTCCAAGGTAAATTGAAGGAGGAAAAATGCATTACAAACGTACTCTTACAACAGCAGAGATTACACGTGCTCTAGAAAAGGCAGTGCTTTTCTCCAATGTAAAGAAATTCAGTATTTTTTCAGAGTTGTCTGGCTTTTATTTCGATCTTGACCCCTTTCCTGGCACAACATAATTAAAAACCCTGAATTAATATAGGATTCTCCACCTTTATTTGAAAGTCTGTGTATAATGGGAGAATTACAAGCTCTGATTTGTAACAGCAATTTATCAGCACTGCTGAATGACTTAACGTGTACATATATATATAGTTACTGCTTTTTTCAAGAAAATAAAGAGCAATCTTTGTAACTATTAGGATCATGTATTCAGGATGTATGTATTCAAAGAGGTCAAATTATACTATTCTGCATCAAATTTTCTGCAACATGGAAGTGAATCCATGAAGATTCAAAACTGAAGGCCCTTTCTAGGAGCTGATCTTAACATTGATGTAGTCAGTATTGTCGTGCACAGGCATCGCAACATCAATCCTCTCTGACCCATGGCAACAACATTATAAATTTTGAGTTGGCTCATTTTAAAAAGAAAGTTAACACTTCTCAGCATAGTTGAGGACATACAATTTTCACTGCATGGAGCTGAATATTGTTATTTCAGTTTTCAATTTTCAAATAGGTTAAAAAAGTCGCCTACTTGCAAAAAGTTTCTCAGCTATCTCACAGATTTAAATCTTACAGGAAACCCTACAGTGGCTGATAAAAAAAAGATCTGGAAGATTATCTCCACTAAAGCTAGCTTATCTAAATTTGGTTTTTATATATGTCATAAGATAAATTACCTTTCAGAAGAAATACATACTAAATTTCATCTCAAAAGAGCTTAATTTAAAGAAAGGTAATCTCTTGAAAAGAATTAATTACAGACATGAAACCATTTCATGCAATCTGCACACATAATGTTATTTATTTAAACTACTCCTTAGTTCAGGCAGAAAACCAGCTGAGAACCAGCAATTAAAACCATCTGAAGTATCAATTCTCCTATGATCCTGTGTTTGTTTGTTATATAGAGAAAGCTGGTTTGTTTGCTTCGTTTTTCACTTTTTTAATAAACTGCTGCTGTGCACTGCTGAACAGTTCTGTGTCTGACTGGTCCGTTTATTTAAGAAGCAGCTCCATGGGGAAGGAAACATGGTTTTATGTTTTGACAGCACAGAGCACACTGTCAACACTTAATCTATAATAAATAGCCTACCACCTGTTTCACATCCATTTCCCAACCTTACCTCTAAGCAGCACCATACCTTTGAAGAAAGAAAGAAGGATGTGTCTGATCACTAGAACGGTGCATGTGTGTGTGCTGCCTGTTGGCCTGAGGTTGCAGCCTGGCTCACAGCTGCCCACAGTAACCCCCAGCTCCTTCTTTCAACCCTCCAAAACCTTCTATCATTCTCCATCACATCATCTTCATCAGATCAACTGAAATGCCCAAACTGAATCTAGACCCTGCTCCTGAAAATTGCCCTTTATTAACGTTCCTTGGTTAGGAAGCTAGTATTTTGTATGGGATAAAGAGCAAAACTGAGGAGTATCTCAATTGCCTCAAGAAAGTCACATTCATTATGATTCAAAAAGCAAGTGTTAGAGAACACAGGTCATTTCTGTAACTCATTCTTATGATGCTCTAATTTGCTAATCCTTTTAATTACATGCAGCTTGTTATTTCCAGAAAGGCTAAAACAATCTGTCAAGGTACTTCCTAAAAGTATGTAACAAATGCTGCAAGTCACGAATTAAAAAAGAAGGAGGGGAAAAAAAAAAAAAGTAGAAATAACAGATAACGATTTTCAGGAACCAGTGAAGCAAGCATCCATCCTCAGTACAGTTGAGGCTGTGCGGAAGACAAGGCTCTCTCCCACAAACCGGTAAAGATTTAGAACACTGTTTTGTGATACAAATGCACACTTGCCTCTACCACATAAGGTGCTGACTATGGCTTTTAGGCTACTCTCTTACCGGACGCTATGTCTGCTAACGCAGTCCACCATGGAGAGGCACCTTCACCTATGGCTGAAGATCTGTAATGCAAAACTCTACATTTGACAATGTTGGTAACGTAACTATGGGTACACATGGTTCAAAAATGTTAGCCCTGATCTTGCTTTGTTAGCTGCAACAGAATTGCTATGCAGAGTAGAATTCCTTTATGCTTTACTGGTTGATTAGTGCTTGAAACCACTTCATTTTCTGTATATGAGCATTTTTCTCACCTTTCAAACATTTTTGAAAGCCAGAACCATTATTTTTCATACAGTGCTTTCAGTGGGCACATGCCACAGTAGGCTCTGTATGCTAACACCCCATATAACGAGCTGATAGCCAGGAGGAGTTTACAATATAAAAGTATATCTAAAGGAGATAACAGCAAATAAATACAGATGTAAAATGATCATGGTAACAGCAGTGTGGGTTTTTTTAAAAACCACTTCCTTGTTTGCAAGGTCTGCTACCCAGGTGTGTCTGTGCCTGTAGGTCTGCATGAATCAAAAAAGGGGATTCGTATCTGCAATCTCACTTGCCCAACTTGAGTAAAGCAGGTGCTGAAACCCTTAAGCAGGAATACTTTGGTTTTCATAAGAAAGGCTCCTCGGGAACCTTTTTTGCCTTTGCAGTGAACTGAACCCCTGGTTTGGAATTTCAGGCTTTTAAGTTGGCCACCCAGCATCAGACCAGCCAAGACACCATTCTTTTCTGATTATAATGTAAGCAGCCCTTTCATGGTGTAGTAGCTAACTGGAAACTTCTCTGAGATGAAAAGTGCTTTACAACCACTCCCATGAAAAAACAGTGTGGTTCTGTTTTATTTTTTGGAAACCACTGATTTTCAGTTGACACTAAGCAAGTTATTTGTGGAGTTTATGGCACCAGTTTGGACTATTATTAAAATGAGTACTTGAACAGTCTTTTCAAATTATAGCCAAAAGTATAAAATAAGGAGTGAATGTTTTACTGACTGTAATTCTGAATAGCTGAATATTTAAGAGAAAAATTTCATATTCCAGAGACTAAATGCTATAGTTCCATAAACTGGAGTGTTTATCTTCCCCTCTCCCATTTCTAACATTACTGCACTTTATCTAATTTATTCTGTTGGGTTGGAAGGTTTATCACCACTTTTATATGCCTGCTTACTGAACTTATATATTCTCTTCTGAACTACAGAAAGAGAAGTGTAGCAAAAGCTGTTGTTAACTATCTTGATATATTTTTCTCATGAATATAAAATACTTTCTGGAAAAGTCAATCCTTTTGTGATTGAAACAACTTTAGAATAGAATCACTAGTTAAATGTCTTTTTAGCTGATTTTGTGAAGCGTGTGGAAGTAAAAAAATATATTACTTCATAAAAGGCAACACAAAAAACCAAGTTTGTTTTCCTATTTCTGCTTATCCAACATCGCACCGGGATTTTTCCCAAACTGTGTAAACAAGGTGTTGCTCCTACTTTTATTAATCACCATTCAGAAATTGTAAATTCCACTTACTAAAAGAATTTGGATTCCCTCAAAAATTCACAGTGACTCGAAGTAAAAAGTTGCATCTGAAACTTTCTCAAAAGGAGGAATATTTCTCAAGAATTCAGTACTGGTTCTTCCAAGAGAGTCTGGTCCAACTCCTCCAGCTGCCCACTTGGCAAGAAGCCACATAAGTTGGCAGGAAGGCTGCCAGCTCGCCTACCCTATTTTCCTCTGATGTGATGAATGGCTTTACATCTTCTCATTAGGAACTGTTGACATGTCTCGTTTTTGTCATGCACTACACAGCTGAACTAGCCATGATGAATCTCAGCCCCCTCCTGCTTGGAAAATGCACTTATTCTGAAATGCGTTGCTTTATAATACACACCAGAATGAAATGGCAGCTGCATACTTTTGAGAATAACTGTGCCCTATACCAACCAGTGCAGAGAGATCAAATACATTTTGGGAATGCAAAGCTCTGATCAAGAATCATGACTGAGCTGTCACCTATCGGTATTTTGCTGTCTAAGGGCAAAATGAAGCAGTGCAACATAAACTGACACTTCTGAGTACACTGAACTGTGTGATTTGTTAAATTATTATTTAGCTCTGGCTTTCTGAAAACTAGCTTGTTTGTCAGCTGACCTAACAAAAACTTGCTAATGTAATGTTGAAATCACAAGCAATGAAAGACAATCTTTGTTCTTGGGTCTGAAAACATATGTTTAGAAAAAGAAAAATCTGAAAGTTTCTGGAAGCTTAAAGACAAAGTTTGTTGCTTGGAGACAGCAAACAGCAGGCCTAGATGGTTCAAGTGAGCATTGTACCCACAGATGTTACCATGCCTGAGTTACGGCTCCGATTATTCACATACTTTCAGCACACTGATTGTCTAGTGACAAAACCCCATAACTAAATTCATTATGGGGCTCTGGTCACGTTGCCTAGCAATTAAAGTGATTATGATTAAAAAGCGTCCTTGAACATCACTGGATGCATGCGCACACACACATGAGGCTCCTCAGTGCACAAAGCTCCCATTCAAGTCAGCTTGATTTTTGTGGAAAACCTGCACTTATTTTCACAATTCAACCCATGATCCATTTGATATAAACACAGTTGACCCACACAAGCAGCAGATGGCCAGTAGAGACAGGTGAGTGTGTTTTATGCTAAGCTATGTTAAAGTATTGTCTCTTAAAAGTTACCAAGATCTGCAACTGTGAATGTACAGGCAACAAGACGACTTAGAATAAAGTATGTCTGTTGATCAACACTGAGAGGCAACCATACGCTAAGGCAGAACAGCCAGTGCACCTATGAGATACTAAACATCAGCTAGGAAAAAAAACCAACACAAAACACAATCCAAAAATCCACCTCCAACTGAAAAAGTCCAAACAAATTAGATGGTAAATCTCAGTTTCCACTTTCAATCTCAGGATGCTGCTGTTTTACTTTTTCTGTTAAACTAGATATATTAGAACAAGTAAGTATTAGACAATAATAACCGAAATTCATGATGCAGTAAGCCATATTTCATTTCATTTTGTTGCAACACCAGAAATACACTGCACTTTCATTTGCCTGACAATAATAAGTATCAGGAAAAGCAGATGGACTCTTAACTGCTTATCATCAGGTCCAAGTTTTGTTAGCCTTGCTGCATCATAAATAAGTAATTTCCTTAAAAGGAAAACAGCTTTTGTCATTTGCAAATCTGCTTACAAAAGTTCAGAAAAGCCATATGAAAATACTGTTCGCAGACTTAAAAAAAAAATAGTTTATTAAGAAAGATTGTATCAAAAAGATAATGTGATAAAAACACTGGCTTCTGAAACACATTGATGTGTTTCTCAGTGGCATCTACTAAGAAATGCAACAAATTCTCAAAGGATTTTTCCCAATGTTAGGAAGAGAAAAAAAAAAAAAACAAACCCCTAATGCACAGCAATAGTATAGAAAATAATTAAAATCTAAAATGCTTGTAGGACTCTGAAAACAGTACAGCATAGATCCATGCTTTTCACAATAATACAATTTGTGAAAAATAAGCAACTTACTGATCTCAGTAGTACTTCACAATCACAAGATAGTATCTTCCATCTGATATTGCAATTACTAGTCAAAAACTGAGGGAAACTAGTCTGGCTACTTCCTGTGTCACAAACCCCATATAACTGCACTGTGCTGAGTTGCATAATGTGTATGTATCAACTTGAATTTGTCCTAAATTGAAGGTGTCCTTACATTGCATCTTAGAACACAGCAAATATAACCAATAACAACTAGATGAGCTATCTACTTAATATTGAAAATCAAGCTTTTTAGTATAATACACGTAAGATGGCTGATAAAGAATTAGAGGAAGACTTACTCAAACATAACTATTATTATGAACTGTACTTTGTAAATTATAAGGACTTCAGTAATTCTATAGGATGTCCATTAGCTTATTTTACTATTCCAGTGAATAGAACACTTTTTTTTTTCCCCCCAGAAAGAAGTGACTGTTTGTGCTTGGGGTTATTACAATGTCAATATTCTTCCCACGTTAGTACTATGATTAACACATTGATTTCATACTCCACACAGGCAAAAGCTGTGCAATCTCAGTATTATCTATGACGAAAGTAAATGTTGACTTTTTAATCTACAACATTATGTGTATTTGTATGCATCAAGTACATACACACAGGGGTTGCCTTTAAAAAGTCATAATTTCCCAACAGCTGTCACACAGAGATGTCAAATTACCATCATTTTCCCAAATACTTCAAAAAGGAGATCTCTGCAGTTGTGTGGGAAGACTGGGAGGTGCTTGCTTTTTTCTTTTCTTTTTTTAATAGATTCTTCTGTAGAAGTGCACAGCAAGAAACTATCAACAATAGGAGTAAGTGGTGCAGTTCCACACATTTTGCTAATTTTAAACATACAAACCACTTCTTTCACCAACTGAAAGTTAAACATCCTACTTAAATGTAATCTACTGAAGTGTTTTAATGTTGTAAAGTGCCACAAAGATTATGGGAATGGCACAGAAAATCCCACAAAGCATTCTAACTACGGGGACAAAAGTTTATTTATTTCAATGTATTATACTGTCCCTTATCTTGAGTTCCCTTGACTATGAGGCCCACAGGCAAAGCATACCACAAAAAGCACACTCTTTTGCTCGCTCTCTCTGCACAACTGAAGCAGAGGAAGGAACTGAATGGCAAATGAAGCACTTGCCTTTCTTCTTTTCTCCCCCAGAGAGTAGGGTCACTCTAGGTTAAAGTCATTGGTAGGGCAGAGCAAGCATGCCTACTGTACAGCTTTCAGATATTACCTAACTTTCACGTCAGGGATGTAAACAAAGCACATTCTCAGCTGATAATCTCCGTGAGCTGAATATCATATTTAAGAAAATGAAAAATGCATTATCCATGTTTCTCAAGCTGGTTGTTAAACGTGTCTGACTGTAGGTCGTCGTCTCAATTTTCTAATATTAGCTGTCAATCCACAAAACATGGACATGATGAAAAAGGTATTCTTAGCACACAGAAGACAACTTAAGCTCCTTCACATTTGCTCATTTATTTTTCCAATGCTTTTAAATTAGGAGCTCATTCGTAGGAGGTGAAATGCATGCACTTCAGATACTGTCTATCTGTGGCTATTTTTGCCACTACTCCCTCCAACTTACTTTGGTTTCTCTCAGCAGAAACTGCAAATCCCGCCCACTGAGTATACCATGGTTTTTTACATAGCCAGGAATATATATAGTGCTTGTCCCGTGAACAGTTCCATGGACTTCCATATAGGTGTGGATGATGTCCAGATAAGCCTTCTTATCCTGTAATAGCAACAACAAAATATTTTCAGTCTTTACACATTTCAAGCAGTAGTGTTCAATCAGAGCTGGTTTTTATCTCCTGTACCACAAAAGCCAGAAAGAGAAGAAGTTCACTCATTCTTATATGATTTCTATAATATTTGATCTTTCATGACATTATTAGTTTTGTTTTCTACTAGGTTGGAAGAAAACTGCAGCTTTTTTATTCATAGTATAGGTATAAAGAAATCAATACCAAGGTCCTATTAATTTCTAATTTGACAAAAAACAGGTCACCATCAGATAGCTGTAATCTTGGCATGCCTAAACAATACTTGGCTTAAAAATACTAAAAAAAAATCATTTTGAAATACCAAATTTTCGCTCTGTTTTTGTCAGAGGTGCAAAATAATTAGTTATTGTTTATCTTCTTTGTGAAGAAAAGGATGAATCTCACCTTAGTAAGATCCACTCTTGCCAACTGAATACACATATTTATCTAAATACCTAGTACCTGAGTCCCATGAGATACCTACAAATATTCCACTTACGTAAAGTTTTAAAGGCATTTTGGAAAAGACCCAGAGAAGAGCAATGGCTTTAGTGTTGCATTAAAAAAAAAAAAAAATAGTACACCACCCTAGTTTGCAAACAAGAATTACTTTAATTTTCAATGCCATATGTTTTTTGAGTTTTAAAGACTACTAGCATTCCAAAAGCAATTAGCTGTAGACTGTATTTACAGCCAGTATGCAGCACAGATCAGAGAGACTTTCCCTCAATATTTGCACATAGTCTTAGTAATAGCTCTAAAATCAGGCAACAAGTTTCTGTACTTCTTGGCAGCAAGAGAGTTTTAAAGAATTCTACTTTCCCTCACTATTTTTGTCATGTAAATTCTGTACACTGTTCCTCCACAGCCCTGTGTGAAAGATGGCCAACAATTACTGAAGTTCATTCAAAGGGCAAGCAAACTGGTGAAAATCCTGTTGCTTCAAATCTGGGAAGAGCAATAAGGTATCAGGTCTAGATGAATGAACACTATCACTTCTTAAAACTTCCTTGCTAAATTAATTGTTGGTATACATTTGAATACACAGGGTATTTAATGTCACATAACAACTGGCTTCTACCTTTAGCTTGCTCTACTGGTGATGCCATTTGTGATCAAGTAGATTGCCTGCCTCATTATTAAATTGCCCTGTTCTGGTAGCTATGCCAATGCCGCACCAGTTAGACAATGTCCTGGGCTAAGTATTACATAAACCAGCAAACAAATGGAGACAAATGTGCTTTCTTGTTTGATGTGGTTGCTGTTATTGTTAATTAAAACAAATTATTTTAAAAACTAAAAGCTTGCTCCATTTTTTATTTTTCCTTTTACTTCAAATTTGAATTACTCTGAAAGAGACGTTCCTCCCATTATTTGTAAAGTCAAATTGCATTATTAGAAACTGTTGAGAAGCTCATATACTTTGGTAAGAGAAAGCCCATTGCAGAACTTTTTCTTTGCAAACGTGCAGGAGAAATATAAACGGAGTAGCCTGGTCTTGTTTCCAGAATACAGCAGTGATCTGTTGCTAGAGGCACACCTTAATCCCATCTGCTTGGCTTTCAGTACAGAGCCCATGAGTTAGGTTTTAGTGTTGTGAATGGGAAGAGAAGGCAATGAAGCACAGGTACTACTGACATGTTCTGCTTGCAGTAAGAACACTAATGCACTTGCCTCAGATTTTATTGGCTCATATCACACAAACTGATGACATGAATGCACTCTAACTCAAGAAAAATATGAGAAGCAAGCAGCTAGAAAGAATAAAACCAGGATTACCTAAAATTGCACTTACTTAACGATTTCAACGACAATTTTACAAACCTGTTACAGAATATTTAGTTGCTCTAAAATAAAATATTTGACATTAAAATTATTTAGTCTTTACGATCTTTCTAATGGTTTCTGGGGAACTGCATTATTGGCTGTAGGACTATTGAAGATTTTATATAGGTTCAAAAAGCAATTATGGAAGAAAAATCCATGAATCTTTATTGAACAGAGAGACACAACTTTTGGCCCAAGAAGTCCATGAACCACTTGTCTCTGGTGGCTGTGAAACATGCCTCATTTCTCATTCTTCCTTACACATCAAGTTGTGGCTATTTTTGGAGTCAGAATACGGACTAGATAAATCTTTGATATCAACTGGCCTTGCTGCCATCTCATTATCTTTATTAGCTCATTTTCAAAGATGAATGTAAAATGGACCAAAAGAAATGTAACATTTTCACGTCTCCTGTTTATATGTGATGCCAGTAGAAGTCTAGTGGGATTCTGAGAAGTATCTCTGAAATTCGTTGCTTAAATTCTGCTGGAAACTCTTTGATACATACAATGGACCTTGAATTTAACACAAAGTATTCCCCAAATCATCTTGTTAATAACAAAGTGAATCTTCCCACTATATCCATGTGCACTTGATGACTACAATACAGGGAATACAGGATTTAAAAAAAAAAAAAGGATTATACTAAGATAGGATGAAAAGAACAGGCTTCCATGCTGTATTTACAGCAGTATTTTTGGGGGGCAGAGGGAGGGTTTTTACTTAAACCCTTAAAGTTACAAAAACATGTAATAAATATTACTAATAATTTCAAATTGACTGAGCAGACATACAAATTATATTTGAAATGAATATATAACCAACCAATACAGTTTAGGAAGACAAAGCAAAAGCAGTGATAAAATCAGCACGTTCTAAGCACCTTTGCATGTGCAAACAAAACATTAACTATCCATAACCTTAATTGGGTGTCGTGGTTTAACCTGGCAGGTAGCCAAATACCATGCAGCTGCTCACTCACTTCCCCCCCAGTGGGACGGGGAGAGAATCAGAAGGGTGAGAGTGAGAAAAACTTGTGGGTTGAGATAAAGACAATTTAATAGAACAGAAAATGGAAAATGATAATGATAAAATATACAAAATGAGTGATGCACAATGCAATTGCTCACCACCCGCGCTGACCGATAACCAAGTAGCTATCAGTACTTCCTGGATCACGCCTACCATTCATCTACTGAGCATGACGTCACATGGTATGGAATACTCCACTGGCCAGCTGTCCTGATCATGTTCCCTCCCATCTTGTGTACCTAGCTCAGTCAGTAGCCATGGGAGCTGTCCTTGGACTAGGAGGGCACTTAGCAACAACTGAAAACATCAGTGTGTTATCAACATTCTCCTCATACTAAATCCAAAACACAGCACTAGGAAGAAATTTAACCCTATCCCAGCTGAAACCAGGACACTGGGAACATTACTTAATCACATGACTGACTTCTTTCCTGATTCAGAGTCTAAAACCAAACAAAACATTTAATATCCCAAACAGCATCAATTCTTCCATCCATAATATTTAGAAAAATAATGGACTTCTAAATGGTGTCGTTGGGTTTCCACCTCCACACAATAACGGCGCTATGGAGTCTATAGAAATGATTTTTCCTTACAAAGGAAACCTTATAAATAGATAGGCATAAGTAAAGGGATCAATACATAAAAATTTTATGAATTAGTTTTCAAACCACAAGAGTAAAAACATGAAAAAACAACACCCACAAGCTGGGAAAAATCTTTCAGCCCCCAAAGGGCAACCCTCTTTCTTTTACTCAAATGAAATTTTTAAAGTACAATTGGAACAGAGAGCAGCATCTTCCCTTTGTTCCCTGTACATTAAAAAATTGTTCTTAATTTTTCCAAAAGTCTTTCTGAAGGAAACAAACAAGAAAAAAACCCAACCAAAAACTCAGAAAACACAACCCACAAAACAATCACTCCTTTATTTCCTTATTCACTTTGAGTCAAAAGCCTACTGCTTTCATTATCATCTATAAAGTACCATAAAAATACTATCAGCACCTTATACCTTACACAAATCTCACTAACATATGTCTCCTTTTGCATTTAAGTAGTCCTGAAATTCCTCATTCCTTGTAGAAAAGTGTTATTTTGGATCATAAAAGTATATGTTGCAATAAGGCACTTCACAAAAATAATCAGGGCACATAATTCAATTCTAAACATTAAAAACATTTCATTAGAAAATGAGAGAGTGTAAAAATTGCATTTATAAAATAGAAAGGCTACAAGTAAATAAATCAAGAAATGTGATTTGCAAACAAAATATCAACATTCCTTCAACTGTTAATCCACTTCCTGAGTTTGCTTGCTTGGGTGCATATATAAATATTCTTTTATCTTAAATCAGTTGACAGTAAACTCCAGATTTTCACTTCCTCCCAAATGAATTCAAAGAGAAAAGATCATGGGCAGCTGGCTAGTAATGCAAAAATCAACATTCTCTGCAGAGTTTGGATCAGACTGCGCTATTCAGCCATGTCTGCTGTCCATACTGCAAATCTAGACTACGAGCATGGAAGATAACCACAGCAAAAAAAGCAAATTATTCTCCTCAGAATCAAAATGGAAAAGTAACAGTAAGTTACAGTCATACTAACCTTTTCTGAAACAATTTTTCAGCAGTTAAAATAAACATGCCATTCAGGAAAGTGCTTTTTGTTGATCATTGACTGCAGAACTGTTATTACTGTTCATCAATTATTTGCACCTACTTTTAAAAGATAGGCCTTTCTCATCAAAGAAATCAAGTGACAACTGTCTGATAAGTCTTTCCACAGTAAGTTACAGTCATACTAACCTTTTCTGAAACAATTTTTCAGCAGTTAAAATAAACATGCCATTCAGGAAAGTGCTTTTTGTTGATCATTGACTGCAGAACTGTTATTACTGTTCATCAATTATTTGCACCTACTTTTAAAAGATAGGCCTTTCTCATCAAAGAAATCAAGTGACAACTGTCTGATAAGTCTTTCCCAGCTGAAATTTTAAGTTTGCTGGGTGAAAAATTTAAGTATAAAAGCTACAAAAATACGTTGTACAAACACGATGCATTAAGAACTAAACTCTGCTTTTAGTTTTCTTGATGTGGCAGATAGTAATTAA